AAGATTCTAGCAAACTTTACAAGAGGCATTAGGTACCCGACTTAGGTTGAGTTCAGCCTATCACCCCCAGACAGATGGACAGTCAGAGAGGACCATCCAGTCACTAGAAGACTTATTGAGGTCTTGTGTGTTGGATAATCTAGGAAGTTGGGATGATATTCTTCCATTAATAGAGTTCACGTATAATAACAGCTATCATGCCAGTATCGGAATGGCACCATATGAGGCTCTTTATGGGAGAAGGTGTCAAACACCTTTATGTTGGTATCAGGATGAGGAGAAAGTGTTTATCGGACCTGAGCTACTCCAGCAAACTACAGAGAAGGTCCGAGAGGTACAAGAGAAGCTGAGAGCCGCTATGAGTAAACAAAAATCATATGCGAACCAGAGGAGGAGGCCTTTGGAATTTGAGGGGGGAGACCATGTATTTTTGAGAATCAGACCTACTACTGGAGTAGGAAGGGCAATTAAATCTAAGAAGTTGACTCCCAAGTTTATTGGCCCATATCAGATTTTGAAGAAGGTAGGTCCAGTGGCATATCAGTTAGCGTTGCCACCTCATTTGGCAAATCTGCACAATGTATTTCATGTATCTCAGTTGAGGAAATATGTGCATGACCCCAGTCATGTCCTAGAGTCAGACAATGTGCAGATTAGAGACGATCTCTCCGTGGATGTGAGACCAGTGAGGATAGAGGATTCTCAGCTGAAGCGACTTAGAGGTAGAACCATCTCAATGGTGAAGGTAGTATGGGATCATAAATCCGGAGACTTCACTTGGGAGATGGAGGATCATATGCGAGAGTCCTATCCATATCTATTTCCAAGTAAGTTCATTTTCGAGGACGAAAATTTTTGTGGAGGGGAGATTGTGACGTATATTTTTTACTGTGAGAAAACTTCGTAACGAAGTTTTCCTCATGCACAGAAAATTTTTTCCTTTTATATGTTCGAAGGGGGGATGAATGGTTTCTGCGGTAAATTCTTCCTCCCATATCACATGTTCCTCATTCTTCTTCTTCTATTGTCTAAATTTCAAGCAACGAGACTCTACTCGTGCAGGATCTGGTGAAACGGGAGAGAGCTTGAATTAAGTGGAAAAGCTTCGGTAGAAATACCATACCAGGTAAGGGGAAGTTTAATTCATTCAATATATGAAATTGAATTGTTGGGTACTCTGTGAATAAGGAATAGGAGTAGAGATATGAATTATTTGAATGTCTGATTTTGAAGAGTTTCTGATTTTGATGAATTGTTCACCGTTTGAAAGTTTTTGAAATTCTTGAAATTAAGGATGAATTATATAATAAAATTGTTGTTTTTAACTTAAATTGAACATGTTTATGGTTTAATTTTGATTTGAAACTAATTTGGATGATTGAAATTGAGAAATTTGAAACCTGGATTTTGAAAATGGTGTACTGGAGGTGATTACTATTCATATTTTGCAAAGTTTTAAATATTGATTAAATTCTTGAAATTAAGGATGAATTATATGGTAAAATTGTTGTTTTCAACTTAAATTAGATATAATTCATGTTTAATTTCGATTTGGGACTAGTTTGGTTGTCTAAAACTGAGTAATTTGAAATCTGCCAAAATCTACAAATTTTGACACTGTGACTGGGCGAAGGAAGAAGAAAGGGATATGGTGGGGATTTTTTTAAAAGATCAAGGGTAAAATAGTCATTTTACATTCTAGGGACATAAATGTAATTTTTGAAAATGTTCAAGGGCAAAATAGTCATTTTACATCCTAGGGACATAAATGAAATTTTTGAAATTGTTCAAGGGTAAATTAGTCATTTTTGGGACATGGAAGGAATTTTTGAAAATGTCCAAGGGCAAAATAGTCATTTTCGGGACATGGAAGGAATTTTCAAAAATGACCAAGGGTAAAATAGTCATTTAGGGACATACATGAAGTTTTAAGAAAAGATTAAGGGCAAAATAATAATTTAATGATTTCGAAAATGATTTCGAAAATGATTTCGAAAATAGTTTCAGAAATAGTTTCGGAAATAGTTTCGGAAATGATTTCGGAAATGATTTTAGGAAAATATATATATAAAGAGAGAGAGAGAGTGAAAGTAGTGTGTTGTGACGTGTGTGGGTCAGACTGAGCTTGAGGGCTGATGCCCAGAATCAGTCCTGAGACGTTATATATTGGCTAGACTGAGCCGGAGGGTTGGTGCCAAAATCAGTCAAATCCTATTTTTATTGACCCGAATGAGCCGTGAGGACAGGTGGTCCAGAATCCGGCAAATGTGAATAATTTTTGTTATGTTTGAATGGTACCCGGGGTGGTACAAAGTACATTAGTGTAATAACTATGTTGGAGGATTCTGAAAGAGGTCCCAAACTTCACTGATTGGTTGGGTCAGGTAGACTACGAGATCAGGTGATGAGAAGTCGATTGGGGGATGACTGGTGGCGCGCTCGAAGGGGTACTCCAGTATGATTGATGAAGGGCGCCGATAATCCTACTGCTGTGTGGAGGGTGGTCGAGATGAGTGCTGCGGGTACCGATCACATTGTGCCCACGAGATGATAGCCTCCGAGTTCGGGCATAGTTAGGGTATACTTCGGAAGGTGTCTTAGTGTGTTGATAATTTCGTAATTGATCATAATATATAATTATTACTTCTATATCTGTTTTATTATATCGAATGATTTAATACTTACCCCTATTTTTCCATGTGGATGGGACTCGTGATGATCACTTTTATGTGGGAGTAGATCGGGAGTTGAGAGATGGAGATGTGACTACTTGGATAGCGAGGGATAGTTCGATGGGATAGCTTCGAGGAGCTACTTTTACATGTATAATATATAAATAAATTATGTTACTATATTTTGAGGTTCGTTAGTGAATCGGAATTTCAATCTATGTTACAATTACGGTAATATAATATAAAATAGATGTCGTTATTTACTTGTTTACTACTCTGCGAAGACATCATTATAGTAGCGATTTTTAGGGTCGTTAGATGCGTGATGGTGCTGTATAATTATTTTATTACGTTCAGAAGGAATGCAAGTCAGAGAGAAAATAAACACAAAAAAAAAAAGGTTTATAAGTTGACAGCGGAAAGAATATAAAAGATGAAGATTTACTTCCAAAATTTTAATTCTAATATTAATCGTTTAATTTCCAATTTTTTAAAAAATTTATTACCGACTGGATAATCATTGAAAAAAATTGGAATGTATAAAATAATTATTTTTTGCATGTATTATTAGATGCTTCTTAATTTTTTTATAAGTAAAATTAATTAAAAAAATTCTTTAAAAATATAACTTTACGTAATTTTTATCTTTAATATAATCTAAACAAAATTACATATTAATCCAAATAAAGTTTTTTCTCAAAAAATTAATCACATAAATTATATTACACAATATAAATTTAAATAATTTAATTTCTCTAAAATAATATTAATTATACAAATAAAATAAATACACATAAATTATTAACATTTTTCATAACTAATTTTAACTTAATTTACAATAATATACTAATAAATATATTATATATTATTATACGATAATTAATTTTTATATATTGATATCAATATATAAAATTCCTGATTTTTGTTTCGCTGACCTGTCGAAAAATCACATTTCATAACCGGTGGATATCTAATAATCGTATTTAGAATATAAGTAAAAGAGATAACATGCATCGTGATTAGTACATGTGATTCACGTTGTTCTTTTGCCTAACTAGATGGTATTTCTAGCCTAATATGAAGATTAGAGGCAGAAAGTTAAAGAAGTCTCCCTCCATTAGTCGGATAAATTATCATAAGAACGGTGGCCACGCATTTTTAAGTGGTAAGCAGGTTAGATAATTGTGAACATCATCATGCAATGAAAAATCTGTTTTCAATTTCTCCCGTGTGTGAAAACTCGACAATCAAAATGACAGTAATACTGCAAGATTAGTCTCTAATTCAATGAGTCTAGATTCATCAAACCAACGACAGTTTGAATACTACAAGTATGATTAATCTCTAATCTAATAGATGGAAAGAAACCCATGGCAATCCTTAAAAACTGGTCGGATAGGTTTAATACTCCTATGAAAGGGGATTTTATTTTAGGCCCTGAAATAATTCTGCCACCACTGCAATGGGATTACCAAGTGAAATGATTTTAACTGATTAGCGCGACAGTTCATCAACTTCCATATAATGATATAATCAAGCAGTTTAGTTTTCTTAAGGTAAGGAACAAAGAAGATCCGCATCCTACCATTATCTCATCTCTGCAAAATACAAAACCCTCATTTACTGAGTGCTGCCAGCAGATGAAAGTACACCCTGTAAAGTTCTGCAATGACCAATTCTTTGGTGAAGCCCAAAAAATATTGGTCAAAATATTTCTGAAAGTGCGAATGAATCAAGAACATAATATGACAACTATAGCCATATGGAAGAATGGCAAACAGGGATTCAACAAGGAAAAAACTACATGGTTGACTCCATACCACAGTATACCAAGACGATGTCAAATTTAAAAACTAATTATCATAAGCATCATATCCAAACAAAACTGGAATTCAGCCATTCACAAGGACAAATATTTTGTCATGAGCTTTGCATAGGACAGGCTAAAATATTGATTAACAGATGCGCAGATGAGCCGTCTCAACCAAATAGAAGACACTAAACTAAAACACTTGATGTATATGATAAATAACGACAAAACCATCGTTCATAACTTACGATCACCTCAAACAGAAAACGGTTTCCTTTGGTGCTGTAAGATGTGAAGCAATCATAATCAATTGAACATCTACAGCAAGCATGTTGACAGAAATAAGATATAGACATTTAAAATTTTCAACTTGTACAGATTAGGAGGACCATTGAAATACGCATTGCTCTTCAGAGAAGAATATTTACAAACCACAACAAAATTTGTCACTGTGTGGTATTAAAAATAATACACCTTTCAGTGGGTTGATGGACAAACAATTTTATCAAGCATTGTTTCTACTTTCTTCCAACATAAGATCCCAACTTAGACAAATCTGGAATCCAGAATGACAACTCAGATGATCCAGAAGTAAACATAAGACTTCCAGGAGCCCACTTTATTACAGGAGGTCCAGTATCAGAAGTTGCACTCCTCCAACTTGCAACCTAGACAAGGCAAAAACAATTAACATCGGACTTGTAAGTAATATTCATACTTAAAATTCCACAAAGGGAAACTATGTTACCCAAAGTAGTTTTTGAAGCCAAACCACACATTCAATATTTTTTTTTCAGGCATAAACATCCTTTACATTGGTTGGGATGGAACGTTCACGCTTTTAATATAAATAAATGTTAACATATCACACGCAACTTCACAAGCTTCAGAAGAGTATATTTTCTGTTATTTCTAGGTAATAATAAAACAGATTCAGAAGGAGAGAAAAATAAATAGTATAGAATCATTAACAATTATAACTGGCTCCTATCCCATCAAAAGTGATGATGACTCAATGTATACTGTAGGCACACATGAAGGAAAAAGGAGACAGTTGTTGAAAAGAGACTAGTTCTCTAGTGATATCTAATGTCAGGTAAAAGGAAAAATGTCAAATAAAAACTGTTTTTTTATGTATTCTGAAAAGCCTATGTAGGCGTAGGTTGTTCTCCTAATCGGAACCAATATCTCAATCTTCTCTTGCACTCTTTACCGCAATCTATATATATACACTACTGCTGCCGAGTGAAATTTTTCACTTGATCAAATATTCAAGTATAGTCATTTACAGGTAATAAGTAATTTATTAGAAGTTACTACGACGACAGATAATGGGTGTTTTCTTCTGCTTAATTTTATGCCAAGAATAGTTTCATTCAATTATTAACAGTTTGCAATAAGGAAATAAATGACTGTATTCACAATCAAAGGGTTGGACATTCTCGGAAATTTTTTGGGGAAAAATGAAAAAGGAATAACATGCTTGTAAAGTCAAAAGCATATCATACTGATTGGTGAAAAACCATATTAACATTTATAAATTACAATCCAAACAAAAATGTGTAAAGAAATTAGATATATAAAAGACAGGGTAGAGCTTATCATACTTCTTTGCCACTTCGAACACTCCATGCATAGATGCTTCCATCCCCAGAACCTGTCAACAATCCAAGTGTAAAACTAAAAGTTTAGCATAACAAACCAGCACAGGCAGCAAGCAGAACCCAACAGGATCACATAAGTAGGAAAAAGGATTGAAAATATAAGAGAGAAAACAATGCCATGATGCATGCATTTTAAAATAAACATCTTTCAAAGCTTTCAATCAAAAAAACTGTTTCAGTAAAAAAATAACAGCCTAATAGAAGTTCAATGAACAAACAATGAGTATACCAAATGAATAATGATTATAGATTCTTGGAATGATCTGAAAATGCTTACCAGATATGACAAACATTCCCTCGGGGCTGAAAGAAGCTTCTAATGTGGAGTTGCATGAGACAGGTGTGACATTATATGTGGATAACTACGCAAACATAACAGAGAGAACAATTACACATACAGCCTTTTGAAAAATAATAAATTAATTGAAAGAACTATGAGGTAAAAAGTGGACTGGGTTTAACATGTACTCACAAGTGTGCCACGAAATGAATCAAGCACATGAATATGCCCATCTGCCGTTGTTAAAAGCATGAGTCTCCCATCATTACTAAATTTCACAACATTAGCATCAGAGATATCTCCCCCAACAGAAAATATCTCAAAGGGACCCTGTAGAAAGTGAAATTCACCATATCAGATTATTAGTGTATGTCACAATTAACAGACAACAAAAGCGTAGCTTTATACATATTCATATTCTCATTTTGAATTTGCAAACCTTTTCATACTTGCGAGCATCAAACATTCTTATGAATCCTCCAAAGGCAACTGCAAAGACAAGCCCTTGATCATCATATGATATAGCTGGCCTTCCTTGCACGCGTAAAAGTCCCTATTCATTTTTAAAGTAAGAAGCTCCTATAATAGTTATATGATGTATAATAAACAAAAGGACATAGAACAAACAAGTAATAGCATGCACATGTCACCACCTGACACTTTTCAGCCCTTTGATCCCACAGTAAAACAGTTCGATCTAGAGAACCAGATATAAAGCAGTCTTTCCGAGAGCACAAGCTTAGCGACACTACCCTGGGAAAAAAATTATATATTTTTATAACAACCGAATGGAATGAACATGAGTACTCTATCAAATGATATGAGATTTAAATGTATAAATTACATAATACTAGATACCAAACCTGTCATGGTGACCTTTGAAATATCTCAAATACTTGTTATCATGTAAAGATAGAAGCCGCAAAGATTCTGGATCGATTCAAAAATTTTATAATGGGTATACAAAATTTAGTAACCACACAAAGTTTGTTGAAGATGAAAGTAAGTAAAAAACTTACCATCCCAACCATTTTTTGAAGAGTAGATGACAGTTGTAGGATGAGATGTGAAGCAAACCAGGTCAACCCCATACTTCTTGCTATTAATTGTCTTCAAACATCTGGTGTCAACTAAGAAATCTCAAAATTTCATGTTGATGCACACATGTTGATCAGTTACAAAAACTAAAGAATGGCAAGCAATTTCAAAGAATCTAATAACATGACTATTAAGCTATTTATTTACTCCACAATCCATGTTAACTATTTAGCTGCAAATGATGGAACAATTTGTAGTTGTCAAATTACATATGTGTCATTTATAAATGTTAAGAAACCCAATCTGGTAACCAGGATTTACCAAAGCAAATCAAATAACGATGCTATCTTTTTAAATCATACTATCTGTATCAATCATTTGGAGGATGCAACAATTTCCACAAAGTCGAGGATAAAAGAGATTGTATCTAATTATTCTTCAATTGTCTATATAGTTAGAGCAATAAATAAAATTGGGGCTTACGTTCCACTGGTAAACTCGTACAGTCGAATGGATTCATCATCACTAGCAGTCACAAGATAACTGGATGCCCTGTGAAAATCCAACGAACTAATTCTACCATTCTGAAAAATATATGCACACAAAAGTTAAAGGGGAAAAAAAACTATAGTGAAAAAATAAATTTGGGGATCTATAGTGAAAAAATAAATTTGGGGCTGCCGAATCCCAAAACATTAGAAACTCTACCCTAATCTAAGAAGAGAACAGAAAATGTAATGGTGGAATTGCTCACGTAGTCTTTGAAGGCCATTCCTACTTCCATACTCTGAAGAATTTCTTCGCTGAGCTCCAGAGACACCTTCTCTTCCCTCTCCGCTTGTGTCCCTACAAACACTCAAAGCGTAAGAAAATCAAGCGGTAAAGCAAATAGAACAGAGCAAATATATAACATCGAAAATCAGTAACAATTTTGAAATACCTCCCATCTTTTCTAAACTTTGCCCAAGGTATCTAAAAAGCTGAGGAAGTTTAAGCTGAATAAGATTGTGGCTGTGTCCGTTTCAAAAATTGGATGTAACCTTACTCCAACGCTCTCTTTTGATTGTATAAATGAAATAACAGGGAGAACAGAAAATATCGAGGAACATAGAAGACCCTGAAATACAGATGAAAGACAAGATTGAAGCATAATAACTTATATATAAAATATTTTTATAATTTAATAATAATGGTAAAATATGTTTTCGAGTTTTATATTAGTTTTATTAATGTAATTTATGTTTAAGTTTTAATTTCCACATTATGACTATTGACGTCTTATATTTAAAGTTATCATGTCCTAAAAATTTAGTTATTGATTAAATAACATAATGTAGTGTTACATAATTTATTTCATTTGTGTATTCGAAGTTTAAATGATAATAATTTATATAAATTATTTGTTATTTTAAATAATATAAAATATAAATTCATTGTATAATATTATTTTTAAACAATTTATTATTATTTTATTTTAATAAAAAATTTATTCTCACTTGTTATTTATTTTATTTTGTTTATATTTTATAAGTTAGTAAATGAAATAATTATTAAAAATAAAATGAAATAAAAATTTAAGAATATTGTAATGTCACACAAAATTTCTTAAAATAATTAATATTTTACTCAAATATTTCAATAAACACCTCTTATTTATGTTCTAAGTAATTGTAATATAATTGATATTTTAGAATTTTCAATTCAATTTTTTTTTAAACATATATTTATCCAATCTCTTTATTTACTAAATTAAAAGCAAAAAAAATGGTTTTGTGATGTAAATATGTATTTACCATATTTTCAAAATTTATGATATTTATTATATAATAATAATATTTTTATATTATTGTATATTATGATAATAATACAAATTAATTTACTAGATTACTAGGTTATAATTTATTATATAAAATATCCTGATAAAAGATCTATGAATAAGACAATTTTATTTTCTACCAATCAACTTATTTTCGTTTAGAGACTTTATTATTATTATTCTTATTTTTTTATACTAACTTAAGTACTAGAGTGTTTTTATAGGAGAATTTTTTTTTTGTCAACATTTAGTAAAGTTAGACCTAATAGATATCAAAGTGACACTAGTTTAGACTATAACTTTTTGGTAAGAATATTTAATGTCCATCTTGGGGTAGGTAAAATCTTTTATACTCAAACGACGTTGAAAGCGTAGACTTTTAACGTCGGTTGGTGAACCGATGTAAAAAGTAAAGTTTGAATTTTTTATAATCCCTTTTTATTTATGTAATTTTATTTATTTATAATGCTTTCGATCCTCTTCTATTTATCTAGAGGTCTCCCTCCCCTTTATATTATATTTTTATTATTTATTATATTGTTTTAAGAGAATTATCGGGGACAGAATTTGAACCCAATACTTTACAGTCGGAGGCTGATACTCCAACCACTAAACTACTGGGATTTTCTAATAATAACTTAGAAATAAATTATATTTATATACAAAAAAATGTATATATGTGTAAATATATAAATACAAATATATTTATATATTTTGATATATTTATATAGTTATATATTTATATGTTGGATGTGAGGCGCGCTCGAGGGTGAAAGTGTGTGTCGAGTGGATCTTCAAAATTTGATACCAAATTTAATCTAATTAATAGAACAATTTTTTCCTTACATAGATTATTATAAATTAATCAATTGATTAATTTATAATAATTTATTAAATAAAATAATTTTAAAAATAAATATTTAATTATTTTTAATATTTGAAAAAAAATATTTTAATATAAGAATTTCAATTAAATAATTGAAGAAAAAAAGATAAATGTGTCAAAACCGACGTTGAATGTGTCAAAATTCAACTTTTAACGTCGGTTGACTCAAAATCGACGTTGAAAGTGTATTCAACGTCGGTTCAGCTTTGACCGAGCGTTAAATGGCGACGTGGAAAGTATATTTTGTAGTAGTGTAATTTTTTAAAATCATCCTGACAATCTTCTCAAAATAAAAGAATAATAGTTTTAATGGGATGATGAATATATATTTCAATTTATATTTTTAAGTTAATAATAAATCAATTGAAACCTTTAACAAAAGGCAATGAGATTTCTTTCATGTAGAAAGAAGATAATCCTATTTCTTATTCAATCTTAATAAATTTTTAATACTCCTTCCAAAATATATTATGATGGTAAAATAAAATACAAATATAAAATTTGAAAAAATGAGGTATTCACTATCAAATAAAATAAAAAAGTATGTGTGCTAGTTACAATTATAAATTATCTTGGTAAGATTGATTATATTTTTTTATATATATGGATGGTTGACATTGTAGTAATAAATAATATGATATTAGATCTTATAAAGATCATCCAAATTAAATTATCTACACAAAAATATATTTTTAACAAAATTCAAATTATTGGATAAAAATATCTTATTTGATTAAGTTTTGGTTGTTTTTTCCTTAAACTTTTATATTTTATCTATTTGTCAAATATTACAATTTTAAATATATTTAAATGGTGGTGTGATTTTAAAAAAATCATAATACACTATTAAATCTTATGATTTTACTATTGATATTCAATATATATTACCTTACATGATGTAAATATTTGTTTAATATTAAGTACAAATAAATTGAAAGTTTATCCCAAATTTGGATGGTCCATATAATTAACTTCATAGAGAGAGACATATAAGTTAGAATTGTTATTTAAGAGAATGATCCTCAAATATACAAGTGTGTTAGGTAAATTCATATATGATTCATATCATTAACTTCTTACAAAACGGAATATATAAGTTATAAGAGTTATTCAAGAAAATAATCCTCAAATATAAAAGTGTGCTAGTAATCACACCAATAAGGTAAATTCATACATGAAACATATAATTAACTTCTTACAGAATGGGGCAAATAAGCTAAAAAAGTTATTCAGAAAATGATCATTCAACATAAAAGTGTGTCAGTAACCACATTATAAAGATAAATTCATACATCGTCAAAAACATCATCTTAGCACAAATTTTACGCTTATAACTCATCAAATCAAAACAGTTATTATTGTACCTAGTCCCAAGCTAAACATGGCGGATGTAATGAAACTTGTCAAGTATTATTTTAGCCTCGAATTAAATATGGCAGAGATAATGAAACTCGTCCAATATTATTTTAACTTGAGATACACATGGTAGAGGTAACAAAACTTGTTAAATATTATTTTACCTCGAACTAAACATGACAGAGGTAATAAAACTCATCAAATATTATTTTAGCCTTAAACTAAACATGGAGAAGATAATGAAACTCGTCAAATATTATTTTAGCATGTTAGATGTATGTAGCTACCACAACACGTTATAACTAAACGTAGTTATCGCAACATATCATTATTAGATGTAACTACCACAACACGTTAATATTTTCACCTAGTGTGATCTTTGTGAAAGAATGAAGTTGTCACAACTCATTAAATTTATAGACAAAAACTAATAGCATGAAGTCTTTGTAGCTCATCTTAAACCAATAAAGAGCTAATTCTTACTCTACTTAAATTATCGGAGTTATATGTTAAAATCAACCTAGGTTTATTCGAGTTATATTCATCCCAATTATATATTTAAATCATATTGAATTAGATTTTATCTAAAATATATTCATCTAAGTTATATAATTATCTGAGCATATGTCATTATACCATAATAATTATTCAAGACTATCATTTTAACATATGATTATGTCATAACAATAATGTCATAACATTTAATCATAAAATATAGAACACCATGTTGTCAAAAGATCATATATTTGTATGAATTTGACCGTCCTCACATTCTTCAAAAATATGTTCTACTTCAAACAATTTGTTAATAACTTTAAATTGAACACATTTCGAGCATAACTCTAAATTGAACACAACTCGCTAATGGAGCATATTTGTTTTAAATTAAAATCACATTGACTTTAATGATATTTTATAAATTATCAACATAAATTACACAATTGTTAAGAAAAACTTGTAAGTATTGAATTGACTTGTTCACACATGTAGTAAAGATCAAAATAATTTATTATATATATATATATATATATATGTAAATTCTTTTTTTTTTAATTTAATCGAGCAAAAATTGACTCATTATGCTATTGGCCTAATACAGGATCAAATTAGACTAAAATGTTTGGCCTACTTTAAAATATAGGTCACGTTGCATCATTAATTTTTTTTTTTTACTTGGTTCATAGGGCTAGACCTGACTACACTGGATTGTCTGTTTTAACAACTTTAGATAGAACTTCATCTTTTTCCAATATTTAACAGAATTTGACCCAATAAATTTCAAGATGACAATAATTCGGACCGACTTATATAACTTATTTATTATTTTAACTTTTTAATAAAAGCAAGATATAAACAATTTTTTATTCGCTAGATCAAGGACATTATCATAAAAGAAACCTATAGCAGAAAAAACATAGAGAAGTTAACTACTTACATCCTATTTAATATCCTAAAAATACCTTTCAATTAGTTGAAAGTTTATTTTCAATATTTTTTATTCACGGTATTAAGTTCCAATAAATGACACTTTTATTTTATATATATATATATATATATATATATATATATATATATATATATATATATATATAATATCTATGATAATAACTAACTTTAGTACTTAATGAATGTAAACCCGTATGTAGTAGTATTAATGTTTATTTTTTTGGCAAATAAAGGCCAAATGCCCGAATAAGACCTCATTAAAAGAAAAAGCAGTTTCTTTTTTACCCGATAATTTCTTACTGCAGGTTCATCCTTTATGTAAAATAATCAAAATACCCTTTGAATAATTTTTGTTTCAAACTCTAAGAGCTTCTTCCATTCCTGCATATCTTATGCCCTTCTATTGTTTATCTTTTACACTTTCATAGATCTACATATTCAGT